TTTTGAAATTTGAAGCCCGGAAATGCCATTTCCTGCGTTCTGAGCACTGCATGTGACCATTAAATTTGTCCTCATTGTATTCATTTCTCAAGCAAAAATAAGCCGAAATGATCTCAAAATGTAAACTATTGCTCGCGTATATTTTAACATACGATATCGGTATGATACTCGTATCATACGCATATCATTATCAATTGAATACCGAAATACGCGTATCATCTACGAACGCGTGTATCATACGAATACGCGTATCATATGAACGCGCGTATCATACGAATACGCGTATCTTACGAATATATACGCATTACAAACAAATATTAGGGCGCTATAAAACACGATATATATACGCGCGTATCATAATTCGCGTATTAATTCCAATACATGCAGGTATACTGTACATACGCGCACAAACACTTTAATAAAGCGAAGTTAATAGCGAACACTATACAGTAAAAACTCAAATTAAAATATAATGTGCATCTCTTATTATTCATAAGGCTTACCTGACTGGAAATGATTCGTTTTACTATCTGATTTTATTTCTACCTCGACGCATATAAATCCTTTAGCTTTACGACGGCTTTCATTTCGAAATGCGCACAACCATACTGTGGGTTCCCAATAGCATGTTGTTGATGAGCCAAACACAAATATCAGATATTCCATCGTTCTGGAGCAGTAGCCAATTTCATGCCACCGTAGCAAACTATAGCATTTGCCCCATTCCGATTGGTTTGCTACGTTTGACCGTAGCAAACCAATCAGAATGCCGTATATGCCAATTTTCGCTACGGTCAGATTCGACCTTAATGAATCTGACCGTAGCGAAAATTGATCATATATGGGCAACACGCTGCGGTGTATTTCTGAAGGATGATATTTTCTAAGCTATAGTTCATTGCGTAATAACCCGCAAACGGGCAATTACAACCGTATTTTCGGGCGGGAATTCTTAAAACAATTAACGTTACGTATTATAAATGTCATCAATTTGTCAAAATAAAATGTTTTAGAACATATAAAACTAAATAAAATAAAACTTTGAAATATAAACAAGAAAAGTAAACAAAATATTGCTAAATTATATTTTAGATTGATTTTATGATCCATGTTAGAACTGGCCTATGGAAAATCTGACCGTAGCATATGCTACAGTTGCAACGGTCTAAATCCGCCCCTGAAGACGGCAAAATATGGCTGAAATCGTGTTTTCGTGGGGGGTGAGTGAAATAAAATTATTATATTTAAAGAAAACAATGACAATCCTTATGAAAACTACAATAATTATATTAAATTAAGCATAGTTTTTCATCCCATGATAATTTTTTTAAGGAAGTAAGAACATTTAATTTCTGCCTGGCATATTAGTTATTTTATGCATAATAGCAATTTACCTGGGGTGGTGCATGGTCATTTTCTTGTAAAATATTATACTTAGACAAAAAAAGCAACCCTTTTAAACACCATAAGCACTTCAGAAAGGCTGTCGCTTTTCGTTTTCGGAAGTTGGAGCTATGTCGGCACTGCCGTTTCAGGGCGGGGTCATTTTCAGGACTTTCGCCCCGGATTCAGGTTTTGGCACATATGCCATGTTGACCGCCATGGTCATTTTACCCTAAAACAGTTGAGATTACCTGTGCTAAATGAAACGCATACATACATCTATACAGGTCCTAGACTACTGAGAGAAATTGAAATAACTATTTCTCAATTATTATTTCTCAATTACTTTTCTTAATTTTTTTTTCTTATATTTATTTAGTTTTTTTCTAACTTGTTGGAATATTATCATTATGCAACTGAACATGTATATGATGTAGCTATTCCTTTGACTTTTAAATCTGTATGTGTAAAATGTCATTTGTGCCATCCTTTCTCTAGTCGTTTTGACAAAATGTGTTGTTAATTTTTTACTAATATTTACTTTATTCAGAGTTTACGCAGCAATATACTTTATTGCAAAGTTTCATCCAACGTTTTTATCCAAAGTCATCAAAATGTTTTATCGATTTCTCATTAGCTTAGGGTGATCAAATCCAATAATTTTTAGTCGCAATGAGGCATATAGGCAGAATATTTACTCTGGATAGAGAACTGAAGTTTATTTATATTAGAGGGGAGCCGATCATCGGCAAAACATCGGCAAAACCGATTAATCGGCTTGTTTTTTCACAATCGGCCATCGGCCGATTGTCATTGGCTATCGGCCGATTGTCTTCCACAATTTGTATGGTCAGTGGTGTAATAAAAAAATGAAATTCAAATATTTGGTGTGGAAACAATTATCGAAACGAAAGTGGAGACACTATGTTTACCGATTTCCGGCATTTTTTCATAGTTGTTTTCTCACTTTTCTGGCATGGCTGCAAGGTTTACTAATTAAATTATCGTGTTCCGTAACTTCCGTTGACCAGTCAGTAGCACGCTGTGGATTTCAGAATCAGTGTTAAAAATATCGCTTCCTGTTTCTGCATGTTTTGAGTCTTTTGACAAGAGGATACATTAGTAAAATAAAATTAAGATGACCATCGGTTTTGCCGAATAATCGGCCGATGGTGGGTAAATATCGGCTGTTAACAATCGCTATCGGTAATCGGCTTTTTTTAGACATCGGCTCACCTCTAATTTATATAATATGCGAAATCGTACTTCCGCCCTCAGCTGAGTGATAAAATAAATGAAAACGTCTTTCGGAAGCCGATTGCTGGCAGATAGCACTGTTATATGTAGGTTGAGCCAGTGGTATGTAATTTTATAGCAAGCGGTAGTTTTAAACGAGAAAAACAACATATTAAAACGAAAGGCGTTTTTGCGAATGTTTTTGTGCAAAAAGCAGACCTTTTTGACATTTTTATCAGAACTTCAATAGGTAAATGAGTCAGTAGTATAATGAAACGAATAAAATGTAATATATTTTTTAATGTAAAATTAAAATTAAAATTTGAAACCTTTGGCTCGATAACACTTACCTGAACTTTCTTGATGATTCTCGATATCACAAAAACTTTATCCATGAGTCTTGTTGCAGAATACTTTAGGCTTTTTGGGTTATCGTTCAGAAAAGCATGGAATAAAAATAATAGACGCAGAGACAAGAGTACAGGCTCGCAGCTGAGGTCTCAAATAATTTAACAATTACTTGTTGCCAGCAAATATTTTACTACCAAAATTGTGCATCTCGTGCTATATAACTGAATGTAGATGGCATTTTCGTAGATGGAATTTTAAACGAAAATTTGTATACAATTTAGACCCGGAGCATGCACCTGCGAAAACTGCACCGCAAACGCAGAGCCGCAGCTTCGATTTTTGCCGGAGGGCCTAAAGTGTATATAGATGTTCGTTCGACAACTCCATCTACAAAAATCTCATCTACATGTAATATTGTATTATGTATGAATGGCTGAAAGATCCTTATTTGATAAAACGAAACCTTGATGTTTAAAAGTCATCATTATACATTGTAGTTTGTAAAAGCAATTTGATTGGCTAAGAGCTTACAGTTAAATCGCGGAATCACGCAACCTACAGAGTTATCTGCAAATAAGCCTGCGATGATTAGCAAGCGGTATCTATTTAACACAAACAAATGTATAATAAAACAATTATTGAATTCGGTTTTTGCGAGATGCAAAATTATCAAGGTCTCGGTAAGCGTTATCATGTTTACCTCGACCTTGATAATTCCGCATATCACAAAACCTCATCCAATAATTGTTAATTATTATTTGGCTTTTCAAAATTCTCTATTCTGATTGGTTGACAAGCGGTCCGTAAAAACCCATATCCGGACCGAATTTTCCGTATCTGGACCGGTGTCCCGGATGTCGTTTATCTGGCGGGAAATTTTGGCTTTGCAAACAGAAAAAATTTTTGCTTTTTAATTTTCCAATTGTGTGTCATTAAAATTTACAGATAAAAATTTCAAACAACCAAATTGTTTTTGATTGAGCATGCATGCCTGCCGTATATTGTTACCCAGTGAAACTGACGAAAGCCGATTTAATTCGCGCGAAAAGCATATGCTCACAGACTCAGTTCAGCCATATAATAAACCGATTATTGATCTAGCTTGTTCGGTATGTACTGTGAAATATCAGACCTCTGTTTTTGCATGGACCTCGCTCCTTCGTCGCTCGGTCCATACTAAAAACCTCGGTCTGATATTTCACAGTACAGACCTCACGCTCGGTCAATAAGCCGTTATTATTATAAATGGTACTGACTATACGTTTCTTGAGATTGGCCAATATGCTTACAGCTAAATATGGAAAGCACGAAACCTACACTTAACTCAGTTGTCTGCTAGCAGATCGCAAGAAAGTAGAATTATAATGTTTAGCTGACCTTCAACCTTGTTCAAGGTGTTTGATATTCAGATTGCACTTTTCCTACCTCCTGAACAGGCGTCTTAGGGGCTGTTTACATGACGGAAGTTGGGATGATTTTTGATGTATTGGAATAAGTCACTAGGCTAAACAAAAGTTGAAATGCTTGTTAACAGAACTCAAATATTGTAGAGAAGATCTTGTAGTTCAAGAAGATTATTATTGCTGCTTGAACAACCTTTCGTTTACAGTTAAGTACAATCTATTTTCACAAAATAATGTTTTTTGCTGAATTGTGCATTGTGACTCATTTCAATACATCGAAATCATCCCGCCTCATATCTCGTCCTGGCAAAGCGGGATCGTATAAACAGCCCCTTATTCAGCAAATTGTGCATGGTGCCATCCCTTGGGGGTGAGGCAGCAGTTTCCTTGCGATAGTAACTTCTAGTTTAAGTATACGCGAATATTAATGACTTAAGGAAGAAGACGTACTGAAATTGAAAGTGTTATACTACATTAGTTATGTTTAATAATATTGCAGCGTATATTTTAAAAATTAATTATTGTCATTGTGATTAGAAAATTCAAAAACTGCTTTTGTGCAGTATATATAGTTTATACTAAAATGGATGGTAATATAAATGCAATTACTTATAGTAACATTCCTTCCGCAATAATAATATTTTTACAGTATTATTACATTATAAAATTATAACATATTTACGGTGTATAGTTTCACTGTAACAATATCTAACAATGTATTTTCACTGTCTGTTTTATTGTGGGTCTTACCAGGTCTCTTCACATGTAATATGGTACTAAAAAGCTGCTTTAACTATGCCAATTAAATTATGAATATGATTGCTTTTTTATAATTAGGAAGTCGTGCTCATTTTTAAATAAATAATAAAAATAGTTTCAAATCATGTTATTTCGTCAAAATATTTCTCCACGATTTCGATCCCATGTTTCCACAAATGCTTTGGTAAGAAGTCGGGGATATGTAACTTTGCTGTTGTTTCATCTAGATCTTTAAGGTCTTTTGGATTTGGGAGCAATTTCTTTAGTCGGTCTAGCGCTTCACCATACTCCGTGGATTTCCCTCCAAAAATACCTGAAACTTCGATCTCCCAGGCCAGTTTTCCCAAACTCTTGCTGTTTTCATCCTTTATAAAATCGACGATGAAAAAATAGTGTTTGACCATACGACGATCGTTTACGTACTTCGCTAAGTACTTTTTTGCATCCGCGTGTTCGATGTTTTGTAGCCCATTGATTTCTTCAAAGTTACGATCCCACGAAATTATTTTCTTCAGTACACGTGCGTCCATTCCTTTACCACGCATTCCTTCAGCCGAAAACAGATGCTTGTTTCTTTCGTAAAACTTAGCCAGTCGTCCAAACTTCATCAAACTTGCTGTCATCCTAAGTATATCTAACATGTCTTTCATTCGTTCTTGGGATTCAGGAGTCATCATTATTTCTATTTCAGATTCTACGAGGTCAAGATCGATTAGATCTGGATGTGCAATGCAATTTCTCTCAACTCTCACAGTATTTAGGACTTCCCAATGTTCTTTTGTCCAGTCTCTTAATTTGCCTTTTATTTCAGTCCAACGATTGTCTTCCGGGTTCTTTAATCTTTCCAAATACTGTTCCATTTGACGAAACTTGCCACTTGGATAGATCCGTTTTGATGAGTCGACTACAAACCTTGCCAAATGTGCTTCCCACACCCACGTTGCTTGGGCTACAGCGAGCGTCTTTTCTAAATTTTCCTGTTTGATTTTCACATTTTCTACTTCTTTTTTTAAGCTCTGTATTTCGCCGCGAAGATTTTGAATTTCTTCTTGCTGATTTTCCAGAACAACTTTCACCTGTCCGCGCACTTTTTTCAGTCGTTTTCCCAGTATCTCATGTCCAAGTTTCTTAATCTCGTCTTCCACATCTTCCAATGCTTTTAAAAGAGTTTCCTTGGTGATTTTCGGCTGTTTGTCATGATGTATTTTTCTCTTCTTTTTGGGTTGTTCAGATATGGATTGTTTTCTGGGAGAAGACTCTGTGCAGGCCATGCTAGGCTGAAAATTAAGACACAAATCATTTGATTCCACTGAACTAGGTCCTGCTAATCTAGTTTGAACATTCTATCGAAAGCACGGAGTTCTATTTTTGAGCTAAATTATGTGCAGTAAGCTAGTTCATACAAAACGACTGATTTTATAACGAGTGATCATTTCCGTGTTTAGTACGTGCCAACATTCGAGAAATTACAGTTTAGTTAAAAAGCTTGTCGATATAGGTCAAATTTACTATATATAAAATTAGATCTAACTTTTTGATATACCCTTTGTTGCAGAAATCAAGCATTCGCTTTTATAGTTAATATAGTTCTCATACCAGATGAACGAATGAAAAATGAGTAATCAATATACTTTATAATATAAGTGAGATGTAACAGACACTTTGATTGGCTAATGCGCGTGCATTGTGATGCAATAATGCACCGTGGTCCGTGGCACTACTTTGCTCTTTCTGTGTTTTTCTATGGTTTATAGCCAACAATATAAACAAAACTATAGCTTTTTTTAAATAAAAATCTATCAGAAGGAATATACCAAAGGAACAAAGCAATTTTGTCTATAGTTCTACGTATAAAAAACAGTAAAATTAACCGGCTTGGCATTCGTCCAATTTGTTTCTGTCTCGATAAGTTTTGGGCAAAAGCGTGCAAAATAGCCGAAAAAAAATATACCAAAAGCAACACAAAAAACATAGCAAATGGCAACAAAAACTGAACAGAAGTGATTTAGAAAGTACCTTCAATGGTTCTAATAAAAACTGCTAGATATATTTTCAACATAAGGCAAACAATACAGTATTTCAAAAATTATAAAAACTGACCAACACGACGAAACCTACGATTTAACGTCTTTCATGGCAAATCCGGCAACGCGGATGCCGAAAAAACATAAGCAAATTAATCTGTATACCATTGGGGTATTTCCCCCAGCATTTTAAACAGTTTCTTCGCAACTTTAGCATCAAAATTTTATCAAAATTAATTGTTTTTGCTCCTACGCTCGCTTAAATATTCAAGCGACAATAAAACTGTAAAAGCATGAGCGTGACGTCACTGAGTACATGTTAGGAGAATTTCAATGTCGATCTTTTGAGTAAAATTGTTTATTATGTAAAATATTCTACTTATATTATAAAATAAATAGACAACCTCGTCTCGTGCGTTTATGGTGTGATAATGCACTTGGGGAATGTTGTGAAAATACTCGAGAAGCGCGTGTAAAACACTCGGTTACGCTTCGTTTTTTACACGCTTCTCTCGTATTCTCCCAACATTCTCCGCATGCATTATCACACCATAAAAGTACCCGACTTGTTTGCTATTTTTTAAATATTCAACAATATAGACATTTGCCATGTCCAACCCACTTTAAACCTCCAACTTTAAACCCATTCCTGTGGATTTACCCATGCATTTCAATCACTTTTACTCGGCTATCTCGAAGTCGGTTAACTCGAACTCCCCGCTATCTCGAATTATAATTTTGCTTCCCTCGACTGAAATTTACCCGGTTATCTAGCTCTAACTCTGATGACTTTAATAAACTTAGTCCTTGTTTCAATTATATATAGGGACGTGATTTTGCGCCGTGTTAACATGCACGGAAAACGAACTTAAAAAATTGAAAACACTTATAGAACAATTTTGAAATAAAATGTAATTGACGCAATGATAATGTTTATTATGTATATTTCACATGAAATCTGTATATCAGTCGGTCATTGGACTGGCACATATCAAGCTAATGATGAGGAAGATAAAGATTTTGTTTTTTTTCCAGTGTCACGTTAGACGTTTAACTGTCATTTTACAATTTACAAATTGTTTTTGACAAGTTCTATACGAATTTAATGTTCGTAAAGAAACGTTTACAAAACTAGCAAAGCTACAAAGTGTGAATATTTCTTAGGGACCGGTCAATAAGTATAGGGGGGTGGGCCGGCGGAGCACAAAGGAGGTGGGTCACTGTGTTCTTAGCCTCATCAATGAGGTGGGTCATGCAATTTTTGGCCTCTCGTGAGGGCGGGTCATTCTATTCTACGTAAGCCCTGGGCAAGGGGTATTAATTCCGCACGGCAATTTACACCCGTGGAAAGGAAAGGATTAGCAAAGTCTAAAGTTTATCAATAATCGTGGGCGCATGGCTATGGTTACTGTGCATGGGTGGTCATCCTCACTGGTCTTAAAATATAGCGAACTGTCAATAAAAAAATAGCAAACACTGATTGGTCAAATTTAAAATATGCATTATATCACGGTGCTAGACTTTCCAAAGTCCTTTCCAGACCCTTCTATGGCGCGCTTCACTTTCGCTGTGGAAAGGACTTTTGTCACTTGCAGCGCGCCAAATATCACCGGTGGAAAAATCCACCGGTGACGTCATTATTTACATTGAAGGCCGAAGCGATACATTATCGGTCATTATCAGAGTGTCATTATCGAAGGAGTCTAAAAATAATATTATATTCTCAGGCTTTTTTGTTGAACAAATGTGTATTATTGAAGGAAACAGAGTAAACAATGTAAATAAAATTTTGTAGAACACAAAAGCCATGTGAAAATACACAAACAAACATTACATTGAGTATAAAGTACAGGGAAATAAACTTTAATACTGTCACCGAAGATGCATCTGATGATTCTAAAATTTCCTTACTAGTTTCTGGTTTAGTTTGGGTTTCTTGATCTCGATTACTGATTATTACAAATCCGTTTGTTGAGAAAACAACGCGTATTATTTTGATACATTGAACAGCTTTCGGCTCTTACTTGGGTCAGTTATTTCGTTTCCGTGCAAACTGTTTCATTCGACGACAAAGAAATATCAATTCTTGAGAATGTTTTTAGTGTGTTATTGTAGACCCATTGTCGGCGCGGTGAAGTAATTGCATGAAATGTAACACTCTTTTTATGTCAAAATTATTCGCGCCAAAATTTTTAATGCGATTTAAATCCTGCAAGCAACACAAGTCGACCACTCGCGACTTCGTCGCTCGGGTCGCGCGCTCCCTCCACCGCGCTCTCCCTCCCCCATGATCGACTTGTGGCACGTCTACACGGCTGCATGATGACACGACTTTGCAAACATTTCTTTGCAAATTTTTGGAAATTTCAAGAGCTTTCCGAAACGTTTTGCAAAGCATTTGTGGTTGAATTTTACATTAAATTGAAGCTTATATTATGTATAATAATGTATAACTAGAATTACAAATTGTAAGTGAAATGCTGCAAGTAAATACTGGAAGTTCCTGTATGTGTCTTCCCCAGTCGTTTCTAGGGTAGTTGGGCAGTCTTCAGGATAGTAATGAGGGCTACTAATGAGGACCACTGTGAGGGCCACTGATGAGGACCACTGTGAGGGCCACTAATGAGGACCACTGTGAGGGCCACTGATGAGGACCACTGTGAGTGCCACTAATAAGGGCCACTGTAAGGGTCACTAATGAGGGCCACTAATGGGGGCACCAATTTAAGGGCCACTAATTTATCAGTAGCTCACGCTTACTGTCATGTGTTACCCTCCGTAAATAAAGTCAATGAAATGAAATGAAATTATAGTAATTGCATGTCTTAAAGTTCTACAAATTTGCATTAACTGGGTATAAATTTAATATTATCATTTGGATCAGGCATGTACCAGTGTGCCACAAACATTTCGTGAATGAGAATCAAACAGATAAATACAATATTTTATTAAAGCCATATTAATATAGCCATCTAATGTTATAAATGCAGACGTATATTTGCTTGGAAAAGCATTCATCAAAGTTGAACGTAAAGTATAGTACAAGCTGTGATTGTTGTTCTTGTCGAACGCATTAATATAGTTCTCCCTTCATAAAACTCTACTAACCATAAAGGCGCGTTGTTTCACGAGCGACTCAACATCCGCCCTTTTTGATTCACCCAAATTGCCTCGCTTGCAACTAAGGTGGACAGTCGCAGATAAAAACATTGCCTATTTCAGTATTTGTGTGGGAATCTTCAATGTTTTTTGTCAAGAACACTTGACAGGTTTTAATCTGATCAGCCAATCACGTTTAACCGGCTCCAAGCTGATTATATGATCATCACCAACATTGAAGTTTCTCGGTAAAAACATTGTACTTTGTCATGAGAATAGACAATGTTTTATCTACAACTGTTATCATTTAATAATAGTTAATGCAAGCGACGGTATAGCAGCGAATCGTTTGTTTGTCTAGTATAAATTTGCATAGTGTTTGCGTCAAGAGACCATCGCATCTCACGGGACAGGTAGTCCGGGGTCTCTGTGTCAGGGATGGATCTACTTTCAAAAGCATCGAGATATAAAAGTCGATCTCCATCAGCAAGAATCTGATCTATGTACGTTTATAGATGCGGTCCACTAATTAAACGCTGCTAGCGGTCTCAAAAGAGCGCCGCGGCACTTAAACGAGTAAATACGGTATGCATGTTTACAGTCGTCTTCCGCCAGAAATTATACTAACTTACATATCACACGTTGAACATGGCTTCAACAGTAAATTGTATTACACGATTTGAAAAACAAAATGCGAAAATAAGGTAGATCGTTTCCAACTTGCCGCACTCGCGGGAAGCAAAACAATGTCTGTCGAAGTATTTAATGTAATATTGCATTAAACCATTAAACTTGGTTTAAGTTCTCACCTATGTTAATTGCTTTTTCTATATTTTTGTAGAGATTAGTTATAATCTCTACATAAGTTATAAGTTATAACTATATTTTTACTCTATATAAAAATACCGCACTCGGAATAAACTAAAACGCAGGATTGCATGGATAGTGACTTAAACAAGATCAATATTATACTATAAGTACTTCAACAAACATCCTAATTCCCGCAGGGAGTGTGCGGCAAGTTGCACGCGACCTACCTTATTCTGACATTTTGCGATTTTACAACATCATGTAATACAATTTACTGTTAACTTTGAAATCATGTTTCAACGTGATATGTAAATCAGTAAGGAAGTACAATATATTAT